AGGATACTTGAAATTTGGGGATTTTAGGACTCAGGAGTAAATACAAGGAATGAGGTAGTTGAGAGAAATAACCACAATACATCACATTGGTATCAGCGAAGATAATACTAGAATATTGAAGCGTTACTCCATAGGGGGAAATCGAAGGGGAGAGTAAGAGGTAGAGGGGAGGTAATGGGGCAGGTGCAAAGGCAGGGTATAGGTACGTATGGAAACCATAGAGTCAACAACACAGCAATCAGGAGACTCAAACTACAGCAACCGAATTTGAAAACATGCCTGCCAAGGAGGCAGGCTTGGGGGAGGCAGAGAACCTGGGGAGGGATTGGTGCTGAAACACTGTATTCCTGAAATGCATCATAAATCATGGTGTCCTAATAAAAAATTGAAGTGAATAAAAAGAACAATTCAAAAGTAGTACCTTTGAAGTTTCCGAGAAAACTCGTAACTCAGAAAAAATATTTTTTCAAGGGTGGTGGGGTGCCATGTAGCACTCAGTTAGTTCACGGAGCACAGTTAGTCAGTCAACAAAAAGGTAGGCAATGACAGGGCTGGGGAGGGTTTGCTGGGAGTACCCAGGCCACCTCTGGGGCTGTCCCCATGTGCCTGGAAGGAGACTTTTTTTTTTTTGCTTTTTGTTACACTCGGCAATGCACAAGGGTTACTCCTGGCTCATCCACTCAGGAATTACCCCTGGCAGTGCTTGGGAGACCATATGGGATACTGGGAATCGAACCCGGGTCAGTTGCGTGCAAGGCAAAAGCCCTACACGCTGTGCTATGGCTCCAGCCCCCTGGAAGGATACTTTTTATTGTTTTATTTATTCTTGTTCTATATTTGTAGGCTAAAACAAATTCTTATTTCAAATAAAAATTAATAGGAAACAAATTAATAGGAAATAAATAACCAATACATTAAAATTACTAATTCAAAAACAGCTATTTTTTAGTAAAAAGTATTTAGGGAGCTTGTCTCTACTTTTTTAAAAAATGGAACACCAAGGTCTTTATTTTGTATGTATCTATGATATATTTCCATTTGTGTTTTCAAAATTGTGTATTTAAAAAAAAATACTGAATCACTGTAAAATACACACTTACAAGGTTGTTCATGATTGGGTTTCAGTCATACAATGTTCTAACACCTGTTCCTTCACCAGTTTACATTTCCAACCACCAATATCCCCAGTTTCCTCCCGACCACCCAACCGTCAGCCCACCTGCCTCTATGGTGGGTATTTCTCTCTACCTGGCATTATGGTTTGCAACATAGAGAGATTATGGAAGAGTACTTTTTAAAAAATGGCATCAGGGCTGCATGTATTGTCTGGCCACAGCATAAAGAATTCTCAGTGATTAGAAAGAGATAAAGAGAATTGGTCCCAAGAGTATGCTGAGTAGTCTGTTCCCTGGGCACCAGACTAGGAGGGATTTCAATTAAGGACAAAGACCTGTGCATGTGTGAAGACACAGACAGGGGTTCCAATAGTCCCTGGCGGGCTTGCAATGATGCAATTCAATCCCTCACCATCACCTTCCCCTGTGCTTTCCTCCCAGCCCCACCTAGTCCTAGCAGGGAGGCAGAGGGAAGAGGTAACCCCTCCCCCATGTGTGAGGAGCCCAGAGGGGGTGCTAGGGTGATTCTTCACTCCCAGTAGGGAAGGGAAAGAACTGTTTCCCCCCAGCTGCCACCTAAGTGATCCCATGAGCAGAGATGGAGAATCACGCAAGCAGGAAGGAAATCTGCTATGACATGCGGGTAGGTGAGAAAGGAGAAAGGCAAGGTGAGTGCTTGACTAGTGGCCCTCCAGGGCAGCAGCTGGAGAAGCAGAAGCCAGTTTGATTGGGAAACAGCCCTGCCCTGGGAGCTTCCCCTTGCACAGAGACTCCCTTGCTCAGTGAGACCCTCAGCACATTGTGCATGGGGGCTGCTGAGGGGAACACTGGTGGGGCTGCAGGCCAGAGAAGCAGCCACAAGCTGAGAAAGGGTCTCGGCTGATGAAGACCCCCTCCATTCTCACCAGGCTAAGTGGCTGAAGAACAGAAGGCATGACTCTCTCCCAACTGCCAACTTCACGAGGGAAACATTTGGCTTTGAGAGGGAAGTCAGTTTGACTTCCTGAGTGCAGAGCCAAGGGTAAGCCCTGAGCATTGCCAGTGGTGACCCTAAAACCAAACCAAACAGCAAAACTGTACCTTGCTGAGTTTCTTTTGACTCACTTCTCAGAAGAGGAGGCCAGTGTTAGGGAAATGGTTCAAAGGGTTGAAGCACCTGCTTTGTATGCGGGAGTCCTGGGTTCAGTCCTCAGCACTACACAGTCATCCATCAGTACTGAGAGAGTCCTGAGCACTGAGGGGGAGGAAGTCCTCAGTATTGCTGGGTACAGAGCCCAAACAAACAAGAACCCCAGGAAATTAAAAAGAGCACCACTATTTGGCATAAAGAGATTTAGTTAATTATTGCAGAATAATTAAGCGTTCATGTCTATATCCTTGGGACTTTTCATATTCAATAAACCAGATTATATAGACCGAACATGATTGCCACTCAATACCTCTACTGCAAACCATAACACCCCAAAGGAGAGAGAGAACAAAAAGAAATGCCTTCCCACAGAGACAGGGTGGTGTGTGTGGGGAGGGGGGGTTGGGGGGGTGGGAGCGATACTGGGATCGTTGGATGGAATCATTGATGATGGAGAATGGGCACTGGGGGAGGGATGGGTACTCGACCATTGTATAACTGAAACCCAAGTACAAAGATTTGTAAGCCTACAACTGTACCTCATGGTGTTTCACTAATAAAAACTAAACAAAAATAAAAAATAAACCACAATAGTATTTATTGTGTCTAAAAATTACTAAAAGGAAAATAATGTTATTTTGTTATAATGTAGTTGTACATTTCTCCCTAAGTTTAGCATTACGGGTAGGTACTAGAGAAACAGTACAGGGGCTAAGGCACACATGTTACATGCAGCCATTCCCAGTGTGATCCCCTGCACCTCACATTCCCCCCAAACATTGTAGGGAGCAACTTCTGATTACAGAGCCAGGAGTAGCCCCTGAGTATCGCTCAACCAAAGTTTAGAATGATATGCATTTTGGATTCGAAGTCTTCAGAAACAGGTACTGGAAACAGAATGAGAGCCCCACTGTTTTGTGGGGTCCCCATCCACAGAGAACACAGCAGCTGGTCATGAGCTGGTTCTATGGGGAATTGCTGCAGCATAGGTACAGTGAGGACTTCTCTGTTCAAAACCCACCAAAACAAAAACAGAAAACGAACATCTGGTTGCATATAACCTAAGTTAGGTGAGAGCTATGTGTCGGGTGGATTTCTAGTTGCTGTCACCAGAAGAACCTTATCACAAAGCTCACTTGAAGTTAGCAGGAACACAGAGAACAGTCCCTGGCTGGTGACCCTGAAAAGGTTGCCAAAGATGACTAGCAAGTTGGTTATTAATAGCAGGACTGCAGCAAGAACAGCCATCCCATCGAATTTAGGTGCAAAAGACACACAAGAAAAGGTGAAAAGCAATCCTCAGGAAAAGAGCTGTGTTCCAAGAACAGTAGAATTTTGAAGACTGGTGTGAATAGTCACATATTCCAAAGAAAATGGTAAAATATATATATATATATATATATATGACTGGAGCGATAGCACAGCAGGTAGGGCGTTCGCCTTACACGCGGTCAACATGGCCGACCCGAGTTCGATTCCTCCGCCCCTCTCGGAGAGCCTGGCAAGCTACCGAGAGTATTCGATATGCCAGACACAGTAACAACAAAGTCTCCAATGGAGACGTTACTGGGCCCGCTCAAGCAAAATCGACGATCAACGGGAGGGCTATATATATATATATATATATATATATATATATATATATATATATATGGTAAAGGCCCTCCCGTTGTTCGTCGATTTGCTCGAGCGGGCCCAGTAACGTCTCCATTGGAGATTTTGTTGTTACTGTATTTGGCATATCGAATACGTCACAGGGAGCTATATATATTTTAAAAATTTAGAGAAAGAACTTAGAGAGAAATTAATAATAACAAAATACAACCTTAAGCTTCAAAACAATCTGGGATGCACCATCATCACTGGGAGGACAGCTGGCTCAGCTCTGACAAATGTAGGCAGAAATGGATTCAAACTATTGAATATATGAATATGGAATATATGAAGCCAGAGAGTGCACAGAGTTAAGGTATGTGTCTTACATGTAGCAACCCTGATTCAATCCCCAGAACCATCTGGTTCCCCAAGTACCACTGGAAGAGGTCCATAGCTCACCCTTAGCAAGGTAAGAATATCCGGCATCTACATATCTCAAGGGAAAAGTGCTTTGAGATTTCTACCAAGTTTGAGGGTTACCTAATGATGATCTGAGCACTCAGCTTACAAACTGTAGCAGCTGTCCGATATCTTTTAAATATTGTCAAGGGTGCATGTTCTGCATAAGCAGGGGAAATCAGAGGGTTGGGTGGAGCACTGTTTCTAAAGTTTTTTTCCAACCATGGTCCCTTCCTTCCCGTGGCTCTCTTCCCTATTGGCTGGTCCCTAGTCTACTGCTATAGTCTCCTACCACCAGCAACTTGAACAATTTTCACCAATGTTTCCCTTGGAATATCCTGGGTTCTTGAGGGATGGGGTGGGTAATATGAGCCTAAAATTACATTAATCTACCTCCTACAGCAAAAAAGAATTGTCCAATTTAGTGCTTAGGAAGTTTACTCTGGTATGTTAAGGCTGGAGTAAGAAAGCACCAGCTAGATCTTTCTCTGAGGAACCCATTTTCCTCTAAGAAACAGGTTAACTAGGCAACAGCCATTCCAGCCTTTGCTTCAGAATTCTGGGGCCTTGGAGCCAATATCTCTTGTGTTAACTCTTGGTAGGACATGGGCCACCCTTGGCCCTTATTGATGACCCTACAATGACAAAGATATGTGACATTCCTCAGCTCACACAGCATAAGACCATCAAAAACATATTACCTGTTCAGGCTGAGTTCCCTTTGAGAGAATGTCAAGTAAGTCTGCAGAAGAGATGAAATAGAAGCGTGGAAAAGCCACTCGCTTGGTTTCCAGGTACTCCGCAAGAGCTTTTTCACAGAGAGAAAGCCTGTACAAATGAAGAACCCTTGTAAGCACATCTCACCCATTTCATTACTAAAACCCAATCCAAACCAATTCCTCATTTCTGTCTGTGCTTCACAATAAGCTCCCAGCCTAATAAGGCAGCCTGCCTCCTCTCCTCACACCATCAGGCTGATGACTGATAGACAAGTCATATGGGTAGGAGATGCGGGTATGCATGTGCGCATGCAGAAACACATACTCACACACACATGCATGAGTGCATGCACACACATATACCCCATTAGCTGAGTTTAAATATAGATAAAACTTAGGTTTATGTCACTCAACATTTTCTTAGTGACACTCCTAATTGTCAGGGAAGACTAGTTTCAGCATCCCTAATACATTGGATAAAATGTGCTTGGTTGAAGGCCTTCCTTACCCCACATAATGTCTCCAAATCTGGCTACAAATGGATCTCAATTCAGAGGAGCCACAAGGTCCAGAATTATTTCCACCTTGTTGTTTTAAGTGGAGAGATGATTCAACAGCCAGGGCTCTCCAAATCCCAAAAGTCAGGGACTAAACAGAAACAACTTCTATACAAACACACATTCTCAAATGATAGCCAACTTCATCTCTGAAGAGCTTTCAGATTATTAAAGAATTTCATTTACGTAATATGTATTTTTACGTATATATTTCTCCTACCTTGCAATACAAAGTCATCACAATTTTGTACAAAATCTGGTCATAAATTCTTTCAATAGCTGACTTGCCCATTTTAAATAGAAACCTAGAATAGCCTTATGATCACTAACAGTTGAAGAATTACATGAAACAAATAACAAATGACCCTTAGGATAAGGATTGAAATTAAAAGTTTGTCTATGCTTTCCATGGATATTTTTGGTATAATAAAACTATAGATAGAATAAAGGACTTAAAATAACAGTAACACCATAGTTCCTGTCATATATTAGATTAGATGCTTAATAAGTATTTATGGGGTAACAGGATGGAAACTGAGGTCATTGGTTGTGGGAAATGGACATTGATAGAGGGATGGGTGTTGGATCACTGTATGACTGAAACTGGTCATGAACAACTTTGTAACTGTATATCTCACAGTGACTCAATAAAAAATTAAAATTAAAAAAGTATTTGTGAAGAATTTCCTAAAAGAATTGACTAATCAATCATGTGAATTCTCTTGAAAATAAGCATAGTAATTTAACTATGATGGCATTCCTTCTGAAAAACAGAAATATATTTGGATTTGTTTATAATTTAAGATATACATGTGCCAACTAATATGTACAAGCTAACTAGACAACTATAAGCAAAAATATAAAATAATATAGTACAGCTGTACCCATTACATGATTATCTATTTGGAAGAACTCTCATTTAAATAAAAAAATAATTTTAGTCTTACCTGTACTGTAAATCTTTGAGTTTTTCATAGAGATTAGGTCTGCATGTTGCTTCTAAAACACTTTTTATTTTAACTGTCTTGAACATTAACTCCTGTATCAAAGTATAACATGTAGTAATTGATATTAAATATTATTTTTCTAAACTGTAACCCTTTTTTAACCTTTTTCTCTTTTTTTGACCCAATTGTTACCCATTTTGAAATTTAAACCATCAGGAAGCAAGGCTACACTTAGAGCACCATGTCCTTTTCCTTTCCCTTTTCTTTCTGCACAAAGATCAAAAACTAAGTATGATAGAACTTGTCAACATTAATGTGAGGGGCATGACCAGTATTCCTGAGTCACAGAAAATTTTTTTTCTAGCCCAAAGGAATAAGAGAGATAAACCAGCATTTAAAGGGTATATCCATAGAGGGAAAATGAGATAAGTAATACATATCCAAACTTATCTTTCCACTTTATTTTTTTATTTTTTATTTGTTTTGCTTTATGACTCATACCTAGCATTGACCAGGGGTTACTCCTGGCTCATGCACTCACGAATTACTCCTAGTGGCACTCGGGGGACCATATGGGATGCTGGGAATCAAACCCGGGTTGGCCACATGCAAGGCAAATACCCTACCCACCGTTCTATGGCTTCAGCCCCTATCTTTCCACTGTAAATGCTACAATAGATCTTCTAGAGTTCTGCTTGTGAGAGGAGGAACAACTTAATACTCATTTCTATACCAAGTGTATCACCATTATTTTTCTCAGGAATCATCCCTGTGTGTTGTCTGGGCCATGGCTGGCTGCCTTTGCTTGGTTTCTGCTTTCCCTGTTCAGTCTTGTACTGTATGGGATGCAGCCATCTAGCATGCCTTAAGACAGGGTGGCCTCTGCCATGCTCAAGGCAACTCTCCACATGCTCAGATAAGCCTCATTCATGAAGGAACCGCAGAGGAACCCAGATATGTGGGACCCGTGGCTGAGATCTCCAAGCCTGCTCTGATCGGGACTGGGCCTCCTCCACCCAACTCCCCAGTTTTCCAGTAGCTTGGCAGTCACACCACAAACTGCCCCTGGAACCATGTAATCTCATCAATGGCAAAGATCCAGAAACTATAAAATAAAGCTCCCGGAAGAGAGCAATGCAGTATTTCCTGGAGCACATGGCCGCATTTGGAATGGCGCGATTTCTTACAGTCTAGTCCACTGATGCACCTAAAGTAGCACACATTTGTTTGGTTTTATCATACTTGCTTGTATTCTCTTATATACAGGCTTAAATGGCCCCTGAATGAAATACAACAACCTTCACACACTTTCCTCTTATTGCGTGGGAAGATGCTGGCTCTTGGGGTGGGTATTTGAATATTATCTTTAATGAACTATTGTGAACTACTTTATGAAAATAAAATGTATATATACAAAAAAAAGACAGGGTGACGTGTCTCCGGTCTGAAAAGCAGACTTGCTGTCTATTTTTGTTTGGCACAAGAAGTTAAGAAGGGATTTCACATTTTTAATTAATTGAAAGAAAGTGAAAGGAAGCAAAATATTTTTTTGCACATCAAAATTATATGAATTCAAAATTTAGTGTCTCCAGGTTTAACAGAGCATGGTCATGACCGTCTATTTCTATACTATTTTCTTCACTCCACAAGAACAGGAAAAAATGGCAAAGTCTAAAAGATCTACTCTAAGGAAGTTGGAGGAGAGCCTAAAGGTAATATAAGAATGTGAAAGGGGGGTATGGTACCGCCAGCAGGTCAATCTGTACCTGTGAGGTGAGTGCATCAGCAGCCTGATGGTGCCTTCAGACTTCTAGATACCCCAAAATTGCTGCTGTGTCTTTGGCCAGATTCAACAACTTAGGGTCACGTTTACCAAGAAAGTAAACGGCCAAAAGTTAGGTACGTGGGAAACACCCACAAACCACCTCCAGCTCAGCTATATAACAGGCGGTAAGGCGTCTCTGGCTCCTGATCGAACTGCTTAACAGCCATGATCCCAGAGACTCAGAACAAATCTCAAAACCCAACAGCTTTTCGCAGAGATGCATTTGGTCCCTGCAATGGCTGACCAGCACCAGACCACCCCAGGGGGGAAAGGGTGCTATCCCTCCACCTACTCCCCCTAGATGGCTTGGTGGCCACCATCCTCCAGAGGCCATTGGACAGTCAGGTTTGGACCCTCCGTGATGAGACACATTGGGGCTTCATGGGATGGGGGTGGAGCCAGCTTTCCTCCCCACCCCAAAAAGATCCCAAGTCACCATCCACGAATGACCTCTCTGGCTCCTGATCAAGCTGCTTAACAGCCATGATCCCAGAGACTCAGAACAAATCTCAAAACCCAGCAGGTTTTGGCAAAAATTCCTCCAGATTTAATTATTAAAATTTCAAAATTTAAAATCGTGAGCCCACTACTGCAGCCGCGCAACATCATGTTATTCATAACCAGCAATAGAAAACAAATTGTCTACTGTTTCCTTTTTGGCAGATCTGATGTTGGGGTAAAATCCCAAGTAATAATGGTGGGTCTGGTGTCAAAATATTGAATGTAATCAAAGTAGAGAGAGAGAGTAACATGGAAATCATCTACCCCCAGGTGGGCGGAGGGTGTGGGATGGGGATATACTGGGGGTTTTGGTGGTGGAGAATGGGAACTAGTGAAGGTATGGGTGTTTCTTTGTATGACCAAGACTTAAACCCTAAAGTTTTATAACTGCTCTCAGGGTGATTCAATAAATAAAATTATAAAACATGGGGGAAAAAAGTAAGGTGGAGTTCATGCCCAATTTAATCAGCCTAAACAGAGGCTGAATAAACAGCAGTACTCCTACATTAAAAAAAAAATGTGAAAAGACTGTCAAGAGTTCAAGGTTTTCCCTGGGACCATAGTCAGATGATCTTTTATGCAGAGAACTCCAAGCCAAGAAAATTTGGAGCACTTGTGTATAACCTTCTCCCATAAGTCAGTCTCCACTTTTCTCCCCTTTGGTGAAGCCTGTGTTTTCTCTTGACCACATATCTTTCTCTTTCTCCTCAACATTTCTCTAAATTTCTTTATTCTGAGCAATAGTACAGGTAGGGCACTGGCCTTGCATACAGCAAACCCAGATTTGATACCACAAATGGTCCCCGGAGCCCACCAGGAGCGGGCTGACCTGAGCATAGAGTGACCTTTAAGCTAGGAGTAAGCCCTGAGCATTGCCAGATGTTGCCCCAAAACCAAAATAAGTAAATCAATAAATATTATTTTGCTTCCAAAAAAGATTAATTCTGACTCTGCAGAAAAATATTTTCTGACCCATATACAATATTCATTTTTTATAAGTACACCATCTCAAATCAGGTTTGTTTATAAACTTTGCATATGGCTTGGAAAACTTTGCCAGAATGGAAAAGAGCCTATCTTCTACAAACCTTAAATTCAGCATCTACCCCATCAAACCTTCTTGCATCTCTCACAAGCTGGATTCGAATATCTTCTGAGCAAACAAAGATGCTTTCCAGGTGAGACCATGTTCTCTGGACTTCCATCCAAGTAAAGATGACTGAATCTGTTATGTTTAATTTATTTTGCCAGTTTAAGACTTGCTCAATGAAATACTCCACATACTTGCTCTGAAGAAGAGTCTGTAATTGAACCTAAAAGTAAAATGGAGGGGAGCTGGGGAGTATCATGCTGAGTGAAGTTAGTCACAGGGAAGACCAACACAGATGATCTCTCTCATATGTGGGAATATAAAGAAACACAATGGTGAAATAACAAATGCCCAAAGACAAGGGAAACAAAGACCCTGAGAACTGGAATTCAGTAAGAAATGCGCCACTTGAGAGGGTTGGGGATTAGGACAGGGAGGGGCAACACCTATATTAGAGGGAAGAGTCAGGTGGAGGTACTGCTGAAAGGTGGTCAAGTGTTTATAGTAAACTTGGTAGAGCATTTTCCTCCATGGGGCTCACCTGGGTTCAATTCCCGGTGTCCCATATGAGCATCGCCAGGAGTAATTCATGAGTGCAGAGCCAGGAGGAACGCCTGAGCATCACCAGGTATGACCCAAAAAACCAAAATAATAATAATAATAATAATAATAATAATAATAAAAATTTTAAAGCACCTCTCATAGACATAACTGGGCAGCAAATGGGGTTGGTGGGTGTAATTGGTGGAGGGAAATGGACCCTGGTGAAAGATTGGTGTTGAAACATTGTATGCCTGAAACCCAATCATGAATAATTTTCTATTTCATGGTGACTAAATTAAAGAAGTAGAATAAAATTTAGTCAACTGTGGTAACTACAAATAAGTAAATAAATACATAAAAGGTAAAGTTTTCAAGGCTCTTTATGGCTCTTTAGAACTGAATCATGTCTTTTGCCAAATTTGCAAAAAGAGGTGTTGGAGAGATAGTATGGAGAATAGAGAACTTGCCTTGAGTATAGTCGACCCAGGTGGGATCCCCAAAACCACATATAAGCCCACTAGGATTGAACCATAGAATGTAGGATAATATTGGTTTGTCCTTTCCACCTTGCCACAGGGAGCTTAGGTTTACTGGATTATTCCCATCACAGTGCTCCCATTCCTCTGTGTTTACTTGTAACTTCTTTCTTTGTGCTCTGTTGACTTGTAAATATTGGGGTTTTTTTTCTCCTTAAGTCCTTTGCATAGTTAATTCAGAACAATGTCCTTTCTGTATGGGCACAAGAAGACAATTAATGCTATGCTCTTGTAACTTGGGAGTTAATTGACTCCAGATAATATTACCTCCAGGGCATCTGTTCTCTCGACCTAAGCCTCTGTTGCCCTTCCTAGCACCCCAAAAGCAGGGTCCCTACAGGGGATTGGATGGACCCAGGGCAAGCTGTGAGCTTTGTGCTACCCTGACACCAAAATGGGCCTGGCCAAAGTGCCATAATGATTAACTATAAGTTAAGAGCATGGTCATAGACAAACGCTGTCATGATCCAAAAAGCAATAACTAGGTTTGGACCCTGCTAGGTTTAGGAATGATTAATCCGGCCTGAGCCGAGCAATCTGTGGCGAGATATCTATCCCCAGGAGAGCCACCCTACAGGCTCAATGTATCTCTTACTGTGCCCATACAAAATAACTAATATTAAGAAGTATAATTAAGATGTTAACTAAGTTATTGGACTAAGCAAAGGAGAAAAACACCTTAAGTGGTATTTTACCTGTGAGCAAAGGAAAGGGCTTTCATATGTTGATTTTGCTCCCAGATGGAGTATGGTGACTACACCCAATATGGGGAGTTGGAAAGAGGAGAGGGAGAGAGGGAAAGGAGAGGGGGAGAGCTAGAGGTAGAGAGAGGGAGAGAGAGGGATAAAGAGAGAGAGAGGGAGAGAGAGAGAGAGAGAGACAGAGAGACAGAGAGACAGAGAGAGAGACAGAGAGAGATACAGAGAGAGACAGAGAGAGGAGAGACCAGGGCAGCAAGCAAGGAGAGACTAGAAAGGGGGACAGAGGGAGAAGGATATAGGGGAAGAATGCAGGAGCAGGAGCGCAGAGAGATAAGAGACGCAGCTGCGAGAGGGAACACAAAGAGATGAGCAGGAGAGACAGGAGGAGACAGGAATGAGGGCCAGTGTGAGACTAGAATGAGGGGCTTAAAGAGACTGGAACAGGCTTGTGGGGATAATGGCAATTGATCATCAATCAGCTTGGCCCTGACTTTCTCCTTCATCCCCCCCATGGCCTGAGGCACACAACCCCCTCTGTGGGGGAGTGGCCCGAGTCCCTGAGAGCCACCAGGGATTCCCCTAGCCGCCCAGAGATTATACAGTAGAGCACATAAGGAAGCTCTGTGTCCAGTGTGGCCCCAAAACAAACAAGTGTTTGCAAAAAGGCAAATAATACCCAAATTGATGGAAGTAAGTATTGAGAGGGATTTGACACTGATTCTACATATTGTTGGATCTCTAAGACCTAGCAGGCAATGCCAAGAGCTAGCAATAGATAAATGTGTAATTGCTAAGTGAGCAAATTAATGATATTAAATATTAATACTAACATTTCCCCTAAAAGAATAAATATGTTTTCTGCAAGAAAACTGTCTATCTCTTTGCATGCAAGAGAAAAAAATTATGCCTCAGAGTGCAATTTAAGTATTAAACTTTATTCTTTTCTCCTCTATCATTTCCCCCCTCGTCCTTACCCATTAATCACTCCAAGGTTGCATTTTCTCCTGACACTAAAAAGAATAAAACCTGCCTCCTTCCTGGCAAGCCCTCCAGCTTCCATTTTCCTCCCTTTTCAGTTTCCCACCAAGCTCTGGCTTCCTTAGTGCCAGACTTGCTTTAAGCCATGTGGTCTGGGAGTATGTGGACCATCCTCTACAGGGAAAGTTCCAAGATTCTCCATCACTTCCGATGGTCCCATCTTGCTCTCCTTCACCTCACAGTATTTAATAGATTTGACAATTCTGTTTTCCACCTCTACTGAGATTTTATTTACATACAACATTGCATAAGCTTAAAGTGTATCTTGTGATCTTAGCGCACCAACAGCCCTGGTCCAGAGACACAACAGCGAGTCCTGGATGACACCACAGAGCCAGAGATCTCTCTGGGCCCCATACTGAGCCAATTTCACAGGGGCACCCCTGATGGAGCAGATGTGCTCTTCCCAGCCTACTCTAGATGGAATCCTGGTGACCAAGAGCTTCCACAAGCAAGACCTAGGGATGCGGGTTCCAGGATTAAATCTCTAGGCTGAATGGCGGCAGAGGAGCCGGGCTGTCCCTCCCAGGATCCCCTCCTGCTCAGCAGCTTGGCTGTCATGCCCACATTCTGCTTCTGGGCGCCATCTTAGCACACCAACATCCCTGGTCCAGAGATGCCCAATTGAATCCTAAAATGGATTATTGCCCTACAGAGATGTCTCTGGAACGCAACCATTTACAATCTAGAATTCAGAAGCACATGGCCTAAAAGATTTCTCATGATATTCAAAATGAGCAATGGAAAATAAATTATCTAGTGTCTGCTCCTAACAGGTAGGCTTGAAAGGTGGTGGGTAAATTGAAGCAAAACATAATTCCCAAAAGTAGAGAGAGAGTACTGGGGAAATAGTCTGCCATAGAGTCAGGGTGAGGGCTGGGATGGGGGGAGGGCGGTGGGATACTCAGGACATTGGTGGTGGAAAATGTGCACTCATAGAGGGATGGGTGTCCATCATTACATATCTGAATCTCAAACATGAAAGCTTTGTAACTCTACCTCACGGAGATTCAATAAAATCACTGTCACTGTCACTGTCACTGTCCTCCCGTTGTTCATCGATTTTCTCGAGCGGGCCCAGTAACGTCTCCATCATGAGACTTGTTGCTACTGTGTTTGGCATACTGAATACGTCACGGGTAGCTTGCCAGGCTCTGCCGTGCGGGCTCGATACTCTCGGTAGCTTGCCGGGCTCTCCGAGAGGGGTGGAGGAATCGAACTCGGGTTGGCCATGTTGGCTGCTTGCAAGGCAAATGCCCTACCCATTGTGCTATCACTCCAGCCCACTTTTGTAAACATGTGTATGTATATATATATATACATCAATACACACCTAACGTATATGTGTTTACAATACACTATTTCACTGTAGCATTGTCCTTCCATTGTTCATTGATTTGCTCAAACAGGCACCTGTAACGTCTCCTTCGTGAGACTTGTTGTCACTGTTTTTGGCATATTGAATATGCCACCAGGAGCTTGCCAGGCACTGCCGTGCTGGCAGGATACTCTCAGTAGCTTGCTGGGCTCTCTGAGAGGGACGGAGGAATCGAACCTCAGTTGGCTGCATGCAAGGCAAACACCCTACCTGCTGTGCTATTGCCCCAACCCATAATATACTATATTAATATATAATTATACTATGTTTAAAATAATAAATATACTGAAACACAGGGCATCCTCCCTCTAGGCCAGATTCTTTTCCTAAGGACCTTATGTCTAATAAGAACACAACTATTACTATTTTCCTGAATAGCTCTTCTCTTTTACCTCCATATCTCTAATGTTCAAGAATATAATCAACACCTGGAACAGTAGAGTTCAAAGCCACAGGAGTGGGGTAGAAGGCATGGGGTCAAGGGTATAGGTTTTGCAAGCACAAGGACACATGTTTGATCCCTATCACAGCCTCTACTACCACTCAATATTGCTCTGTAGGCTCCCAAGCCTTACCAGGGGTGGCCTTGCTGGCCCCCAGCAGCAATAAGCCATCCAGCCTGGTTGGCTACAGGTCATGGCAGTGGCCCGTGGGCCTCTGAGCATTGCTTGAATGCCTGAGGAAGAAAAAAGATCCAAAACCAAATCTGTGTTCTGGACTGTCCTTCCATCCTTACTTTTCATTACCCACACAAAGAAAACCTATATTCTGCTTATTTGGGGGCCACACATGGCAGTGCTCAGAGCTTAATCCTGGCTCTGAGCTCAAAAGTCACTCTTAGGGATGCACACGAGGGGATCATATGCATTGCAGGGGATTCAACTAGAATCATCCATGTGTAAGAAAAATACCTTACCTGTGTATGACCATGGGGTTTCCCAAAATCTACAGTCTGAAGCAGTGTTTTCTTTTTTGAGTTTTTTTTGCAATTTTCATACATTTTATTTTCATAAAATAGTTCACAATAGTTCATTACAGATAATATTCAAACACCCACCCCGCCAGCGAGCATCTTCCCACCACAATAAGAGGGAAGTGTGTGAAGGTTGTTGTATTTCATTCTGAAGAGGCTATGTTTTCTAAAGTGGGTGATATCACCCTCCCTCCCCCCGCAAGCACTGAAATGATCTAGAAGGGTGCTAAATGACTTTTTTCTCTAATAGTGGGGGGCAGGTCAATTCCGTCTGATGTAGGAAACCAAACTCTTTGAATATGCTGAGCAGCAGATTCTTTTGGGCATCCCAGGAAGCCATGAACAGGGCCCCTCCTGGATCCCAAACACCCTTTCCTGGTCTCCATCTGACATGGACAATCATCATCCTCCAGGCTCTGCACCAGCACCACTTTCTCCTTAAAAGTCCTTCCTTTGCGTCTTCCCCTCATGCAGCACCTGTCATTTCTGAGAATCCCTGGAGCTTGTTTGTTGGTCCCTATTCACCAACAAGTTCTTTAAGAGCCAGTGTTAGAACCCTTCAATTCCAAAGGGTACCATATCTGGAACCTGAAACCGGTAGATGCTTGATGAAGAAATACTAAGTATGAGAACTTCGGAAGGTGTTAAAAAAAATCACCTCTTAAAAGGTGAGAATCTTTCATTAAAAATATCCATCTTACTTGGTTGTGCTCCAGAGTCTCAAAAAGCTGTTCATCTGATTTCAGCAAAGGAACGCCCGTCCGATAGTGAACTTCATAGGAGAACTCCATGGTTGCCCAGGTGTGGCTGATTTCCATAATGACCTAGTCAGAAACAGAATCAGCATACGTGCACAGAAGCTTCGTCTGGGATCAACATCCAGGCTATCTATTGTGTGGATGTTTTCTAAAGGGTTCTTTTCACCACTTAAAAAAAAAACGGTGCCAAATACAATAGATGTAATAATTTTTTCTCCAAATAACTACATCCAAGAGGTTTATAGAATGAATTACAACACACAAAAGAAACAAGAATCACATCAAATCGAATTTCTACTAGCTATCACACCCAAAGATGTTCAGGGGCCACACATGGAGGTGCTTGAAGAACTATATGCAATGCCGGGATTTGAACCATTGTCAGGACAAAGTCGCCTGCTAGGTAAGTTCCTCACTCTCTGACCTCTCTAACACTTCAGCTTTGATTGTTACGTCTTTCACAGAAACAGAACGCTAGAGCAGAAATTAACTAAAAGGAACCTAAAAGTATGATTTACAAGCTAGCTGGCACGAGACAGGTCATACTCTGTATGGCGGACCAAAATTCCAGCCTGCCTCTGTGACACTGGATTCGTTAATGATTTCTCAACATTTCATTGTCCTCCTCTGTAACATAAGGGAAAGAGTCCGTCCTTCCCCAGGAGGTTAGTGAATTCATGTAAATAAAGCACGTACAGCAGCATATGCCACAAAGTAAACGACAGACTTCTTTGTTTTTTAAAACTTTGTTTTGATGCTAGCTTATGGATAAGCTGTTTTCTACTGTCATCATCACCACCAATCAGCCGGGCCAACTGTCCTGTCCACATGGCCCAGAGGACTTGGCATCCTTGCTCATGTGGAGAATCAGCCCCGAGGCGCAAAGGGAGGCTCGGGGGACACTACCTTTTCTGTCCCCAACTCTTTCACGGCCTTGTCCACAATGCTCCGGACCTCATCTTCCACTTGGTGCAGCTGCAGAGCCAATAAATCTGCCAATGTCGTAGCTTCATTTACTGAAAACTTGACCTGATGAGCAAGATTCAAAAGGGGTCGGGGGGAAGCAGCAATGTGAGCATGTGGACATTCCACACCTTTTACATAATTGTCAGAGGAATGATTCACACTGGACTATACTCGGCCCAGAGGCTGGGTCCAGGGCTGGTTCTGAGGGTGTAGACAATCAAATACACAGTTCCTAGTCTCAGTCACTGAAACACCACTTCTGAATGTGGGCAGGACACTTCTTTCTTTCGTTTCAAGGCCTTCCCTGGCTGGCTCCCTTCTTAGTCCCTTTGCCCACAAAACCTATTTTTCAAAGAATCCTCTTGTCCACTTATTGTAATTTAATTGAAATTGCAGGAATCAGGAGAAAATAGCTCAGTTGTCTTTCTGTCCTAAAAGTACCCTAATTTGGACATGATTCCGTTACTTCTGTGATTAACCTAGTTTTATCTCCAATTTAATCTCAGTTTCTGGTGTAAAAACACTCCTAATGTCGCCATTCCTATTTACCATGAAAAAAAAAGAATTGATTGGATTTGCCCATCTTTCCACTGCACCCCAAGGTCCCCAGCAGCATCAGCTCAGCTCGCCAGGACTTCCTGAGACCCCCAACCCCACTCATGTCCTTTGCAAATTAAGAGTAGTCAGCCAAACGGCTGTGGACAAGCTACTTCCTATTTCTGGGTGCTATTGGCTTCTATGGCTTTCCCAGGTCCTGGCACATGGTGTAGCTTTCCTGAGAGAAGGCATTTGTGACACCAGAACCTGCAGATCCCAAGCAAACCAGCTAAGTAGGTCCCCTCATCTCTGCATCACTCCTGAGCTCATGCCGGTACTGTGAAAGAAGGAACAGGGATGTACAAGCTGAGTGGGGGGCGGGGGGGAGGGTCTTCGTGCACTGCAAAGGCATGAAGTTCACATGGAGGCTGAATCCAGGTTTTGTCTGGTGCAGGAGGTCCAGGTTTTGTCTGGTGCAGGAGGAAAGAGCCTTTTTCTAAGAGTCTGTCAGAAAAAATTGCCCTTTTTGCCTTGTAGAAGGGCATAATATTGGTAAAAGATTTGGGTGAGGAGAAATGTCTCTGGAGGAAATGGGAGTGAGGGGGCTGCACAGTCTACTGCTTACAAAAAGCAAGTGAGCGAATCCTGTGGAAGGATGATGGGTGGAAAGGTGACCTCTCTGGTGACAAACACAACTGAGAGTATACGGATGGTAGTTCAGGAGGCTGTTCACCTCACACTGAATACACTATGTTACAGATGACATTACTTGAACAACAATTGCTTTGTTTTTGTTTTGGGGCCATACCTAGTGGTGCTCAGGGCCTACTCCTGAAGGGGGTTGGGGGACCAGATAGAATGCCAGGGATCAAACCTGGGTTAGCTGCATACAAGGCAAGTGCTCTATCCGCTGTACTATTTCTCTAGTCCCACTTGAAATTTTCTTTTGACTATGTTGGTTTTTATTATTCTAAATTTTTTTAATTAAAAATTTTTCTTTTGGGCCAGAGCAATAGAACAGAGGGTAGGGCCTTTGCCTTGCATGCAGCCAAACCAGGTTCAATCCCCAGCATCCTTTATGGTCCCCTGAGTAGCACCAGGGGTAATTCCTGAGGGCAGAGCCAGGAATAACCCCTGAGTATTAGATATTAGCCCCAGGTGTTTTAGGCTTCATCAGTGTATTGCCCCTTTTCCTCCCACCACTGAAGCTTACAGTGCTATTATGGGCACTCCTAAACCCCTGATTATCTTTAACCTTTCCTATGTGCTTTGCCTCTCATTCTGTTAGCTACTGAATTTCCCAAGTCAGGCTTGGTTACTTATAAAGTCAAACCTTTTGGTGACTCTGGATTTTGTAACTGTAGTGAATTACTTGCTTTTCTCTCTTCCCTATAACCTTTTCATATTTTAATATAGAACAATGTCTACTTTTTAAACACAGAAAGACCATTAATACTATGCTCCTAATATTTGGGAGTTAGTTGACTCTGAAATATATCTACGCCCAGGCATCTATTATAATTACTGGATTCAGGCTTCAATCGCTATAGTTCCTTAACTCCTCAAAAAACTGGTCTCACCGAGGGACCTCTGGATGGACTCTGGACAAGCAGCAAAGCTATGCTGGCTTCAATATGAGATGGTCTAGAAATCATAAAGCACAGTTTTGATAGAAGCCATAATGACTTAAAAGACAGGACCCCATGGACTAATAAAAGCTAAACCAGCCTGAGGACTTAGTCTGGGATTTATGGAAAAGCCCATTTTTTTAGCCTTAACCCCTGAAGCCCAGAACACTAAGTTTGGGAGTCTATATTTCTTACTGTTTATCCAAATAACTGCACATATTAATGAGAGATAAGCTTAAGATGATTGTTTAATATGTACTAGCAGTAAGGGAAAGAAAAAAGCAATACAGATGCATGTTTCCCCTGGGAAAATTTTCTCTAGACAGAACATCTCCTAGAGTTAATCCCTCCAAAAGAATTGCCTCATTCAAAACACTTTACCTCTGTAAATGATCAAGCACACCTACCTTCAGTCCTATACCTCAACCCCTGTCAGGTAGCCTATAAGTATGCTATTTAGTTCTGAATTAAATGTCCACTGACCATCACTTGTGGTCCCCATCTCTTTGCTCCTCCAGGGAGGTGGCTCTTGACCACTGAATGCATCATACCCAGGGGCCTCCCCTCTCCCCTCCCCCCCACACACACTGATTTTCCTCATGTTTGAGCATCACCAGATGTGACCCAAAAACTTTTTTAAAAAAAAGTTTCCTCTGAAAAAATCAATTTCTAAGCTTAAATTTAAATTCAATGTAGATAACTTGTCACTGTATCACTGTCATCCTGTTGTTCATCGATTTCCTCAAGCAGGCACCGGTAACGTTTCCTTCGTCCTAGCCCTGAGATTTTAGAAAGTGCCACATTTGAGGCTCTTTCAGGGTCAGGAGAATGAGACCCATCACTGTTACTGGTTTTTGGCATATTGAATACACCACGGGGAGTTTGCCAGACTCTGCCATGTGGGCAGGATACTTTTGGTAGTCTGCCAGGTTCTCCAGAGTAAGAACTAGATAATAAGATGTTGCATTCATGGTTCCGTGCTTCCAGGAGCTGGGTTTTATAGTCTCTGGGTCTTGGCCATTGATGGGATTACACAGCGCCGGGGGCAGTTGGTGGGTGTAACGCCTACATACTGGAAGATGGGGGATCTGGGTGGAGGAGGCCCAGCCTCAATCTGAGAAGGCTTGGAGATCTACACCCCGGGTCCCACACACCTGGGTTCCTCTGCTGGTTCCTTCATGCATGAGGCTCGTCTGTGGGTGTGGAGAGTGGTCTTAGGCATGGCTGTGGCTGGAACCAGAGATTTTCAGCTGCCGGGGCTCAGCTCGGGGAGGGGGAGGGAAACTCAACCCACCCTCCTCCAAGGGGCCCCGGTGAGGACAGCCAGGCATGGAGGCAGGATACTCTCCGCTATTCTCTTTCAGGAGCTGGGTTTTATAGTCTCTGGGTCTTGGCCATTGATGGGATTACAAGGCGCTGGGGGCAGTTGGTGGGTGTAACACCTACATACTGGAAGATGGAGGATCTGGGTGGAGGAAGCCCAGTCCCAATCCGAGCAGGGTTTTAGAACTACGCCCCAAGTTCCGCACACCTGGGTTCCTCTGTAGGTTCCTTCATGTGTGAGGCTCGTCCGAGTGTGTGGTGAGTGGTCTTAAGCATGGCTGTGGCTGGAACCAGAGGTCTTTAGCTGCCAGGGCTCAGCTCGGGGTGGGGAGCTCATTCTAGAGTTAATGTAGATAACACTTGGAAAAAATCATCACCACCACTGTAGTTTCAGGGACATTTATTGAAGGGAAAGTATACATAAGGACCTTGTATATAGTAGCACTGTAGCACTGTCCACTTGGGCACTAAATGCACTCCTCCTAAATTAACTCCCAAAGCCTTCCTCCTCCAAATACCACCATGCTAGGTACACAGCTAAAGCACGGAAGCTTGAGGTAGGCACATTATTTAATCCAGAGCTGGGACTGAATCTTAGGGATTCTATTTTCTGTCCAGTCCATGGGAGTTATCCCAGAGAAACTGACCTCTCACTTTATTTTCTTTGTGATTTTTGGGCCACATCTGGCAGTCGCAGGTTTTACTCCTAGCTGTGCACTTAGAGATTATTCCTGGCAATGCTCAGGGTACCATATGGAATAGTAGGGATTGAAGCTAGTTCAGCCCTATGCCAGGCAAGTGCCCTGCCTGCTGTTCTGTCACTCCAGTCCCGACCTCTCAGGTTTGACCAGAGACCTTTTCACAAATCTTGCTGCATCCCCGATGAACAACATAGACCAAGTCACAAATATATTCAACTGTCAACCAACCCCCAAATCACTGACCCCGGTGGCCTTCGCAAGCTGGTGCCAGTGCCTCTGTCTGAGCGCAGGGCTCTGTAACTCTGTGACTGCCTTCAGGGAGGTCCTCATGTCTTTCACGGTGCCTTCCAGCCCGGCATATGCACCCCAGCCACGGACCTCCTTGTCTAGCGACCATATTTCCTATCACAGGGGGAAGAAAAGAACAGTTCTCCAAATATAATAATGCATTTTATCATTTGTATTTTTGAAAGGATCTAAGTATTCAAATATGTATTTCTCTGGGTTACAAAAAATTAGTAGGTTCATTTAAGTTTCCAAGTTAAGGACTAAATGCAGAGAAGCAGAAAATGATTCACTGGTTCATATGTTACCAGTGGGATACATGTAACTTATGTGAATAGGTAATCTGCAAAGTCTAACCAGTTGTGCCAGGAGGAAATCTGTAGGGAAGGAGTCAGTGTACAGACTGGAACAGTGAAAACTGCTTCCTTATAGAACTGAGGTTACTCCAACAGGGAGATGGCAGGGATGGGTGGGGACCCTGATGTTGGTGGAGGGAAACAGAAATGGGGGAGGTGGGATGTTGGAACACTGTATGCATGGGAACCTGTTGTCAATAGTATTGTAAACTACAATTAGTAACAGAAAAAAAAGGTGGGGGAGGGAACAAAAAGAAAATGTTTCCTCTACAGGGTGGGGAATCTTTTTTTCCTATCAAGGGTCAATTTTATATTTATAACATTATATTCATGAACCACACAATACAGCCACATGGACCACAAGCTATCAATGAGAAGCATATGTATCTGTCCTGACATGTACTAGGGCCAGACCATTTGACTTCATGACCCTTATAAAGTCTGTGGGCTGGACATTCTCCACTGCTGCTTTAGAAACATAAATGGAAAATAGATTGACGACATGACCTGTTTCAATGGAAGGCCTGAAATGGCAGCTACCTGTGAACATTTGGTCCTTGGCACTTCAAAACCGCAGATTTCCAGACACATCAATCAGAGCCCCTGACCTGGCTGTCTTCCTGGCCCATGGAACAGCACCAACCATTATGTGAGCAAACCCATAATAAAGTAACTGGCACAGAAGCTAGTCTGAGGCTACTTTAAAAAAAATGTAAAGGGAGGTCAACCTTTACATTACTAAAGGTCACTCTTAGCTGAGAGTGGACATTAAATTGTCAAAGTGAAATAACGAATGGAAAAGGAGCAAGTAGAGAATGAGAAGACAGCGCCCCATGGCATAAAAAGAATGATGGGACATTTCAGTGATGGTCTTTGTGATCAAAATAATACAGGAGAAAGGACTGGAAAAGCACAGGGTTTTTTGGCAATCTCCATTTCAGACTGAGTGGAGATGGGATGTTCTGCAGTGAGAAGAAAGTAAAGGTTCTACCACCATTTAATCTCTTCCCACTGTTAGTCACCTCACAATATATATTACATATTATGTCCATAATACTACACACATATATTATGTATAGATATGTACAATATATATAAATGTTTATAATACTATAGTACTAATACTACACACATATACATTATGTATAGATATGCATGATATATAAATATGTACAACATGTATACATATATGCATATCTATATAATGTATAACATATACATAATGTATATATGTGTGCATATCCTGTCACTGTCTGTCACTGTCCTCCCATTGTTCATCGATTTTCTCGAGCGGGCCCAGTAACGTCTCCATTGGAGACTTTGTTGTTACTGTGTTTGGCATATCAAATATATATCACATATATGGCCACCAGAGTGGCTTTATCTAATGAGGTACCATTTTCTTCAAATGGTGCATGGCTCTGGAGACCTGAGAGCAAAGCACCAAATTCAAACGTGCTTAGTTCCCTATATATCAAACCCCTTGGGATATTAGATTAAGCAATAAAATTAAGAAAGAACAAAATATACCCCATACATCCACAGTGGCATATTTATTGTGGTTGCCATGCACCTCAGAATATTTTAAGAAATGGAATGCTATGATTTCTAAGAGAATAATTTAAAGGTTCCCTAGGCCTAGCACATGGGCTGGGATATTTTTTAATCTCCCACTCCATTCTAGATGGATCACAGGAAGCTCATCAAGAGAGCTGCTACTTGGCAATCCATTTTATCTCAATAAGCTTTCATTCATTCATTCATTCATTCATTCACAGACAGGGAAGCTTGATCAGAGTGCAACTGGCTGAGAGAGGTGGGAGTGTGTGTGTGGGGAAATACAGTCTCATAGGACTATTTTTGAAATAAATAAATACATGCAGCCCCTCACACCAGATTCTAGGTTAGGGGAGATGGAAGGAGGTGGTGCTGAGAAAGATAAATTGTTGTAACAGACAGTTATGGAACTTGCCTTGGCAAACCTTCTGAGTTCTACATCCATCTGTTCCACATTAATCTGTCTCCACTGGGTTTTAGTCCAATTATCAATGCTTCTCTAAAAACGCACAAGCAGATAAAAGTGTCAACAACATTTGGTGGAAGCGAGACTCTGCGGCAAAATATATAAATGGATGACACACAGGGAGACTCTCATCCAGTGGAAAGTCAATGATTTAAATATTAACTGCTCTTTCAAAACTTCCCCATTGCCACAACAAAAAGTTGTTAGAACAAGACAAACTTAGCACCAAAAATTATGATATATAATTGCTAGTAGCAATGACACTACCATATTAGCATTTGATTCTGAGTAATCTGGATGCACTGACAAGTTCAGATCATTAAATATCAGACTTGCATAAAGCTATATATTAAAAGTTTTCATGAATCTTCATTCATCCTTAGCAAAATTCTCATTAGCTTCTTAACCCTAGTCTATATCTTGCAACTATATTGCTATAGTTTTTCACCTAACTTAAAATATTATGTATGCTATTATTGCACATATTCTAATGCATGTAACATGCAAATTTCTTAAAACTTATTTTTACACTTAAATTTTCAATATAATTAACCTCATACAAACTAACTTCATTTTTTTACTCAGGATTACTGCATAAAGCATACGCATGGCATATATGTGACTTTGTATGCACAGGTAGCTATATATGTAATAAATATTTAGCTATTAATTTTCACTAATTCCTGAGATAACCCCCACAAAAAAAGATCTGAAGCAAACAACTGTCAATTCATTATACAATGTTTCATTTGAAAACAAAAATAATGGATATTCAGAAAAGAAAATCTGAAGTAGATATACAAACTCAAATTCAACAGTGAGGGGAGAGATGATGAATTCCCACATAGTTGAAGAAATTTTAAAACCCAAATAGTATGATACACACACTAAAACCTGTACATTTATACAAAATAAAAGTAAAAAAAGGGGGGGTGGAAATGCTTTCAAAAAGCAGTGTCTTACTCTAACATATATGATGACGTCCCAGAGTCCCTTGAGTAATCTTATTTCTTTGCGGCACTGTTTCATTTGTTTGTACTCTGGAAGAGCCACTTCAAAAAGATGAGCAGATTCTTGCATCTGCAACATTTCTTCTTCTAATGCCTCCAGTTCTTGATTTGCCTATGGAGAAAATACACATGTGGGCACATACTCTCATCATTCAGAAAATAGGGGAAGAGAAGCTACACCATTTTGTAGCTCTAGTTATGTCAACACTGACAACTTGTTTAAAAAGAAAATACAAAGAAATCTGCAGTATAATTACTGGCAAAAGGTAGAAGACTTTAGATGAGCAAACTCTCAGCTGTTCAAAAAAACGAGGGTGGGGGCTGGAGCAATAGCACAGCGGGAAGGGCATTTGCCATGCACATGGTCGACCCAGGTTCAATTCCCAGAATCCCATATGGTCCCCCAAGCACCGCCAGGAGTAATTCCTGAGTGCATGAGCCAGGAATAACCACTGTGCATTGCCGGGTGTGACCCAAAAAGAAAAAGAAAATGAGGGTAGACTATCAGGAAATCTAACCATTTCAGCAATAGTCTTCCTATGCAACATACGTATAGCAAAATTTGCTCTGGCTTCAGATTTCTATAAATAAATTTTTCCTCTTGATTTTTATTACATGGTAGGGAGCAAAAGATGAGGCTCTAGAATGTTCTACCGAAAAAGGGGAAAGGGACTTTCAGATTTTAAAAATACTTTTTACCCGCCCTCCAGAGTCTCGGCAGGCCCACCTTCATACCTCCTGACATTCTGCTTATGTTTCCAATTCCCCAGGTTAAATTCTAACTGACAATATGGCACCTTTTTGAACTTGGAAGTGGATCCCCCTCCCTGCCAGGTTGGTCCGAGAGGTCTCCAGGCCAGTCCTCTGCTATCTTAGCAGACCCACACCCACATTTTCTGAACCACAAGGCCATGTATGCTCTCCTCATCACACCTCCTACAGCTGACACTTAGACCTCAATCACTAGATGAGACAGAGTTAACACCAAGGAAAAAGTAATACCAAGCCCTTAGAGATTCCCGGGGAAGGTGGTGGAAGGGAGGCTACCTACAAAGATTTAGACTGAGCAGAGCAGAAACACAGCAAACCCAGTAAGGAAGAAATGCAGAAATCCAACGAGATCTATGAGTGTAAATTATAACAAGGGAGGCTCTACCAGCACCAACCAGCTCTGTAAACGCTCAGAGAATGACTGCACTGACATCATGTTGAGGATGTTTAATGAACTCAAAGAAACCATGGCACAGGGAGTCAGCAAAGCGTAAGAAAGTGTGGGAGCAGAAAAGAGAAAAAAATCGTATTGCAAACCAGAACACCCAAAAGGACAGAGAAAGTAAGAGGGATTGTTCTTGCCACAGAGGCAGGAGGTGGGAAGGGTGGGGGAAGGAATACTGGGAACATTGGACGTGGGAAATGGGCACTGGTGGAGGGATGAGTACTTGAACATTGTTTGAAACGCAATCATGAAAATCTGTAAGTCTGTAATTATATTTCATGATGATTCATCAAAATTAAAAAATAAATAAAAATAAATACAAAACAAAACAAACTGCCCTCTCGTTGTTCATCGATTTGCTCAAGCAGGCCCAGTAACGTCTCTATTTTGAGACTTGTTGTTACTGTGTTTGACATATTGAATACGTCACAGCTTTAAAAAATAGTGACAAATCAAGGTGATGGCAGGTGACATTAAAAAAAAAACTCAATGAGACTGGCCCACATTCAAAAGAACAAAAGCAACCGATGCTGGCGTGGATGTGGCGAGAAAGGGACACTCCTTCACTGTTGGTGGGAATGTCCACTGGTTCAGCCCTTCTGGAAAACAGTATGGACGATTCTCAAAAAATTAGAAATTGAGCTCCCATTTGACCCAGCAATACCACTCCTGGGAATATATCCCAGAGAGGCAAAAATGTATAGTCGAAGTGACATCTGCACTTGTTTGTTCATTGCAGCACTCTTTACAATTGCCAGAAACTGGAAGAAACCTGAATGCCCTAGAACAGATGACTGGTTAAAGAAACTTTGGTACATCTACACAATGGAGTACTATGTAGCTCTTAGAAAAGATGAAGTCATGAAATTTACATACAAGTGGTACAATATGGAAAGTATCATGCTAAGCGAAATGAGTCAGAAAGAGAGGGATAGACATAGAAGGATTGCATTCATCTGGGGGATATAAAGTAACAAAGAATGAGATTAATACCCAAGAATAGCTGAGATCAGCACCAGGAGGATTACTCCATAACTTAGAGGCCAGCTGGGTATCCTAGAGGAAAGGGCAGTTCAGATAGAGAAGGGAGCACCAAATAAAGGATGTTTGGAGGATCCTCCTAGGAGGGGAGATGCATGTCAAAAGTAGACTATGGACTGAACATGTTTGCCACTCAATGCCTCTTTCGCAGACCACAACACCCAAAAGGAGAGAGAGAACACAGGGGATTGCCCTGCCACAGAGACAGGGGGGATGGGGGGATGGGGGTGGGAGGGATATTATCCATGGTGGTGGAAAATGGGCACTGGTGGAGGGATGGGTATCTGATCATTGTATAATTGAAACCAAAGCACAAAAAATTGTAAATCTACAACTTTAAAAAAAATAAAATAAAATAAAGGGGAAAAAAAAATAAAGCAGTAGGAACCTCTGAAAAAAAAAAACTCAATGAAAGATCTGAGCAGCAGAGTAACAGTAGCTGAGTAAACAATCAAGGGATTCCAAGAGAAGATGCAGGGAACCTTCTGAAACAACAGAAGATGTGGGGGAAGCTAAATTAGATTCTATACAAACTATATTGATATACCTATGGTAGAATCAAATTTAGCTTTTTTGATCTCTTTTCTTGGAATATATGCACAACAAGTTTAATGATGGTTAGTTGGTTGTTTATTCAGCTTTTACTTATCTAAAATGTTTTATTACTTACTGAAATGCAATTTTACAGTTATAAATTTTACTGTAAATATACAGATTTACAATACAATTTGGAAAGTAGCATTCATACCTTCTGGCTTCCATTGTTAATAATGTAATGTTTGTTCTTATTAGTCAAATCATCCCTTGTAATAAGTGATCACTCTTTTCTATTATGATCGCTTTAAAGTTCTCTTTGCATTTGGTAGTTTGCAGATCATTTGATGGGTCTAGATGTTTGCTGTGTACTTATCTCTGTTGAAATTTAATCAATTTCCTAGATCTTTTCGTCAGTAAAGAAGCAAACAGCACCCGGCCCAGACAAGGTCAGACCTGAACACCTGAAGAACCTGCCGTCAGTACTCATCAATACACTGGCTCGGCTCTTCACTCGCTACCTGTCTGAATGCAAGGTTCCGTCCCAATGGAAAACCAGCAGGACCATACTACTGTTCAAGAAGGGAGACATCCATGACATTGGCAACTATCGCCTGATCTACCTATTGTCTGTCATCTACAAGTTGTTCACTCGAGTCATCCTGAATAGGATTGGCAGAACACTAGATGAAGGACAACCATGTGAGCAAGCAGGGTTCCGCAAAGGATTCAGCACCATCGACCATATCCACACGATAACCAAACTCATTGAGGTTTCTCGGGAGTTCAAGATGCCGCTCTGCTTAACGTTCATTGATTTAAAGAAGGCCTTTGATTCTGTTGAGACGGAAGCGGTCATTGAAGCCCTAGCCAATCAGGGCATTCAAGCCCAATACATCAGGATCCTCCGTGAGCTGTATTGCGGATTCACTACCAGGATCTCACCATTCTACAAAGAAGTGATCGTTGATGTCAAGAGAGGGGTGCGGCAGGGTGATACCATTTCACCAAAACTCTTCAGTGCCACCCTCGAGAACATCATGCGACGACTGGAATGGGAAGGAATGGGAGTGAAGATAGATGGTCGGCAACTACACCACCTCCGCTTTGCTGATGACATTGTTTTAATAACACCAAACATCAGCCAAGCGGCACAAATGCTGGCCGACTTTGACCGTGAGTGTGGAAAGGTAGGACTACAGCTGAATCTTACAAAGACAATGTTTATGAGAAACAGCCTTGTTCCTGACGCCCCATTTGCTCTCAATGGAACGACCATCTCCGAATGCAACAGCTATGTGTACCTAGGTCGAGAGGTCAACATGGCAAATGACCTGGCACCCGAGCTGCGCAGGAGGAAGAGAGCGGCTTGGAACGCCTTCAAGAACGTCGAAGAAATAGCTAAGAGGACGAAGAACCTCCGGCTCCGGGCACATCTCTTTGATTCCACTGTTCTTCCTGCATTAACATATGCCTCAGAGACCTGGGCCCTACGCAAACAAGATGAGAACGCCATTCAGGTCTCCCAAAGAAGAATAGAAAGAGCTATGCTTGGAATATCACGTTTCACTCAAATGAGAGAACGAATCCGGAGTTCTGACATCCGTCGACGATCAAGGATCAGGGACGCTGTCTCATTTGCCAAGGTGTCGAAAATCAGATGGGCTGGTCATGTAATGAGATTTAAAGACGACCGTTGGACTAGAGCTGTTACTGATTGGATTCCACGGGATGTCAAGAGACCGCGTGGCCGCCCACCTACCAGATGGTCAGACTTCTTTGTCAAGGTCATGAACGATCGGTTTGAGGCCCTCCATGTTCCCGGAGCGAAGAGATGCCATTGGGCTACACTAGCACGCGACAGGGACAAATGGAGACGTTACTGGCGCCCGCTCGAGCAAATCGACGACTAACGGGAAGTTAAGTGATTAAGTGATTAAGTGATTAATTTTAATTGAATAACAAAGCCATAAGGGTAACTCCTGATTGAGTTCCAGGCATACAATGTTCCAATACCAATCCCTTCACCGGTATCACTTCCCTCCACAATTTCCCTCTCTCTCCCCACCACCCTCACTCCACCTCCTCAGGCAGCCTTTGTGTAAAGTACTTTTCTCCTTCTTTTTTCCCCTCTTTCTTTTTAGTCAAAGTGGTTTGCAATATTGTTACTGACAGGGTATCATGCACATTACTTAACCTCTTTTCTGAACCCTGTCCAGGATGATGGTTTCCCTGCACCACTGTCCTAGAATCTCCTTCCCTAACATATCCCCATCCCGAACCCTCCTTCCTACTAAAGACCAGTTTTCATGCTTTTTGTT